TTTCTTGTTAAAAACTTTATTTTCAGTCCTCTGACTCCAATCAGGTTCATTCAGCGCTCAGCAGCACAGGCCTCAGCGTACAACCTTGGGCCAAATCAAAACAAACACTGCTCTGAGCAGACACTCTGCAAAACACTGACAACTTCTTTCTTTTACTATAATAATGAATTGAGCTTATAATGTTCATCCCTTCCTGGTTACATCCCAGAGGTGTTACCTTTTATGTCAGAACGTCACTCAGTTTTGTTTAGGCTAAGAGAAAGAACACACGATAACATACACACCAACTCTTATTCTTTTATGGCCTTAAAGCTGCAATGATCAGACAGTATAAAATACAAAACTGAATCTAATATTCAATTAATCAGTTACAAAATTTCTTCAATTCCTCTCTTGACATATATTAAATATGTCAAAACTATAAGAAATTCCATGAAAACTTCATAAAGAGAAATTATAACATCTGTTGTCGCATCAGGATATTTCTAAACATTTCCCAACCCCAGAAATTCAATTTTTAATCCTCTCAGACATAAAAATATTCATCATCAGGGATAAGACTCATTAATGCTTTCTTTCCACTCTTGTTTCTTCTTCTCTGTCCATTTATTTTTATTCCTCATCCAAAGGTTCTGTAGCTTTGTGCGATAATCTGAATGCTCCTGTTCTCGTTTCACAGGGTCTTCAAAGCGGTCTCCGATCCTGTATACTTTTTTCTTGGATGTAGGTTTTACATTCTCATTCTCAGTTGGTGGTTTGGGTTCCTCAGGTGGAGAAGAAGTGGTCAGTTTTTCTTCAGTTGTTGGTTGGGGAAATCCATTTTCTGGTTCCTCTGTTTGTGATGTTGATGAATCCAGATGTCCAGTTCAGCAGCTTGAAGTAACTCCCCTCTCTGTGGTTCTGGTTCAGCCACTTGCACGTTGATTTCCATTGGTGTCTCAGTTTGCACCTGTTGTCCTTCAGCCTCAGACGTCAGCTGATCACTGTCCTGTCGTTTGGTTCCAGCCGGAACTTGGTTCAGGAAATACTTCATGTTTGAAGCTAACAGCTCTGATCCATGTCGGTTCAAAGTCATTCTATCAGACTTGAACAGATGTTTTCTCTCCCAGAAGAGATCAAAGTAGTCCACATGTCTCACAGAGTGGTCAGCACAGAGCTTTTCCAAAAAACCATTAAGAGCCAACAGTCTGCTGAACCTCTCAGCTCCTCCTCTGGCTGTAGGAATGGGCCCACTGATCAAACACATCCATGTTAAGATTCCTAACTGCATTCAGCAACTGAATGAAATCCTTCTTCAGGATTTCTGACTGTCGATTCATAACTTCATCACTTCCTGTATGAATGATGAGCTTCTTCAGAGTTGGATATTCTGCTGAGATTTCCAGAATCTTCTCTGCAATGTCAGACACTTTACCAGCAAAACTCAGAACTTTGACTTTTTTCTTGTTCCAGAAGCCTCTGATCCCACTCACCATTTTATCTGTGATGATAAGCATTTCTTGATTCTTGAAAGTCTCTTTTCGGACTTTTGGCTTTGAGCTGGATCTGGTCTCAGGTCTCTCTCTTAGATCAGATAGTGAACTTTGTTCAGACTCAGCTTCTTCCAGTGGTGTGACTCTGTTTTGAAGAAGCACTGCTTCATTTCTCTGGCTGTTATCAGGTGTTTCAATTACAGCCTGGTTCTGCTTTATTCTCCTTGCAGGTGGAGAGAAAACATTGCTCTGTAATTCTGGCCATTCATTGTCATCTAAGAGCTGAATCCTTCCTGAGAGATTTTTTGGTCTGGCATCAAGAGAGTTCCATACAGCTTTACCCTCAGAAGCAGCTTCCATCTCCTCTCCATGTTGATCTCTCCTCTCAGACTTCTCACCCATTCGAACGCATGTTGAGTCCTCCAAAGCATTCATCACCTCCAGACGATGAATCTTGAGCTCCAACACGTCACCTTTTGGAGAAGCTGGCAGAAATCCTCTTTGGAAAAGTAAGGAGGCATCTTGAAGCTTTTACTCACTCTCAGTAGATGTTTCAAAAATCTTCTCAGGTTCTTCAACAGCCAAAAATAAAATCCAATGTTCTCTGCTTATTCAAGATAATCCATCACGTCAGGGTCACCAAAATTGTTGGAAAAATATGCGTTGTTCAAAATGATATGTCTGAATAAACAGGATTCAGCTGGGTTTCTTGTTAAAAACTTTATTTTCAGTCTTCGGACTCCAATCAGGTTCATTCAGCGCTCAGCAGCACAGGCCTCAGCGTACAATCTTGGGCCAAATCAAAACAAACACGGGAGGCCTGCTCTGAGCAGACACTCTGCAAAACACTGACAACTTCTTTCTTTTACTATAATAATGAATTGAGCTTATAATGTCCATCCCTTCCTGGTTACATCCCAGAGGTTTTACCTTTTACGTCAGACGTCAGAACGTCACTCAGTTTTGTTTAGGCTAAGAGAAAGAACACGTAACATACACACCAACTCTTATTCTGTTATGGCCTTAAAGCTGCAATGATCAGAAAGTATAAAATACAAAACTGAATCTAATATTCAATTAATCAGTTACAAAATTTCTTCAAAAGTGTCAGAAATATGCAGAAACACCATGACAGGCCAGAGCAGGGAGATGAATCAATGAAAATATTAATTCCATTTTATTGTGACAGTTGAAAGAAATACAGTATTAGTAGTAAAATTAATTTTGATAAAAATGAACACAATATCTGTCACAATGTAGTAATAGTAGCAGTGCATTATATTACGTATTAGAATGTTGAATTATTTGTGATAATACTTATATTTCATTAAACAAGAGTTTAACAATTTACTGTTTTATTTTCATTGTTTCATCTACCACTCACAGCTCATAGTTAAGTATAAACAAGTGTAAATATTCAAAAATTAATTTATTAAAGTAAAACCATCACAATATCAAATAAAAGAGAAATTCTTGGTCAACTTTAATATAAACAGATTAAAAAACAACTTAAAGAGTTTAAAAAATAAGTCAAGACCTGGTGTTAGCCAGGTGACAGCCTATTAAAAGTAAAAGAGTTTAACTTACAGTTGTCTGGTTTGATGGTGGTTGACTTGAGTCCCTCCGCTGGCCCGGTAAGTATTTTCCAGAAGGCAATATACTTCATAACTATAATGATGTAAAAATGAGAACAAACTCTTGATAATAAATTAATAAAGTATTTAAATGAGGTGCGGTGCACACAACCCGTAGAGAACAGTCGGGGGGTTTGTGCAATTGCGCCAGCTCTGGGTCGACTGTGATCATGAGCCTGCCTGACACCAGAAAAAAAGTTTCGGCTCTGATCCCATCCAGGTTGACCAAAGCAGCCTAAAAATAAAATAAGAATTTTGTATTTTGTGCCACTTCTGGCCCAAACGTGCAACCATCCGTTTTCCAGATCCACGCTGACGGGTTGTGGAATAAATTAAATAAATAAATAAATAAACAAGCCCATAGTCCTTTTACAGGTCCGGTCCAAACGCTCACCTGTATTTGACCCAGAGCAGATAACTTTTCCTGTCAGGGTTGACAAATAATTGCACAGAGTTTGTCATTACTGTTGCAGCTGGAGTTTGTTGCTGTGCTTAGATGACAGGTTGCTTTGGAGAAAATACTGCCAGACAAGGAAATGTGTTATTTTCCTCATTTTCACCCTCAAAATAAAGTTTAACTAAATTACCTAAATACTTTGCTTTACTCACCATTTCTTGCATAAAAATACTGTGTTCCAGAGCAAGTTTCTGACCTGCTGTTCAAAACTTCAGTGTGGATTTTATTTACATGCGTTTAGTTTTTTTCGTGGTCATTTATAAAGACGTTGGATTTACTATGATCATCCTTCCTAATAAATGATTTAAATAACAAAACAATCACAGGTGTAAACTTAATTAAT